TCAAGGATCACAAAATCCGTTGTGTAACAGAATTCTCCCACTCGTGCTAGCATGTCCTCCACAATGCCCCTAGGACTAATGACAGAGCAATCGACCAATGTGACACTGAGCCTGCTAGTCTTTAGTTCACCTATGTCTAGCCTCTTAAAAGGCTTAAAGGGCATCACATTAATGCTTACTCCTATGTCTGCCAAGGAATTTTCTATGTGATGAGTGCCAATGCAGAGAGGTATGGTGAAACTACCTGGATCGGGTTGCTTTTTGGGAAACTTGTTGAGGATGAAGGCGGATCACTCCTCGCCTAGGGTGACATTGGCGAGGTCTTGGATTTTCGGCTTCTTGGAGAGAAGCCCCTTGAGGTATTTTGAATACCGCGGCATGTGGGACATTGCTTCAAGGAAGGGAATGTTGAGTTGGAGTTTTCTGCGCATCTTCACGAAACCTCCACATTCCGCCTCCAATCTTTCTTTGTGCACCCTTATGGGGGAAAGGAAGGGGTGGCGTTGGCGATGCCTTCCTCGCCATTCATTTCTTTCCTCCCGATATTTCTTCTTCTCCACCCTCTCATAGAGAGTCTTCCTTCTCGATCACTTCTTTGACAACAACCTTCAGAGTGACCTTCCCACTTCTCCATTAAACCGCATTCATCTCGGAATTTTGGTCTTTGGGGTTTGCAATGGTTTGGGAATGTAGATCTCCCCTTGGTCTCTCGGTGAGGATCCCGACAAGATTGCCAATTTGCACCTCCAAGTTCTGAAGACTTGCTCGGTGATTTCAGAGTTTTGCCTCGACTGAGGTATATTTTGAGGTCGCCACATCCATGAATTTATCGATCTTGTCAAACTTTAGAGAGCTCGTGCTCACAATGGTGGTCACTATATGTTCAAGCTAAGCAAACTTGTTGGGTTGTTGTCGTTGTTGGAACCCTTGACCACCTTGTGCTTGGTATGGTTGTTGGAAGTTCGATTTTTGGAACTGACGCCTTTGTTGGATGAAAGTTGGCCGAGGTTGATAGTTTCTCGTCGGACCTTGGAAACCGGGGGGTCTTGGATTGGTAGGGGAAGACCAAGCGAAGTTTGGATGATTGAGCCACCCGAGGTTGTAGGTGTTGCTATAAGGGTTGTTCCCTCTAGCATTGGCAATGAAACTCATTTGCTCCTCGGGGGTACTTGTTTCCTTCATCGCTTGGCAATCCACAATTTCATGATTAGTGCTAGCATACCAATCACAAGACATCACCGCTCTCTTCCCTTGCTTATTGTCCTCAAGGATCACCTCAATCAACTTGTTAAGCTTAGCTTCAAGTGGAGCACTTGCTCCTACACTTCACACTCCTCTTTCAGTGCTCCTCTTACCACTCCTCGTCAAACCCCAAACGTATCCCTTGAGAGCCATGTCTTCGAGAAACTCGGTCACCAGAGGTAGAGTCATGTTCATCAACTTCCCTTGGCAAAGAGAGTCGATGAGGATCTTGTCATCATGAATGAGACCGCCATAGAAGGTCTCTATCCGATTGCTCCTCGAATCCATGGTGAAGCCATAGGAGGAAGCAGTCCGAGAATCTTTCCCATGCATCCCTTAATGTCTCATCTTCCTCTTGCTCGAAGTGAGTAATCTTCTTTCTCCACTCGGCCATCTTGGAAGGAGGACAATATTGGGTCATAAATTTGTTGAGCAAATCGTCTCAAGAGGTGATGGAGCGCCTTCCCCGCAAGAGAGTAGGGGAATAGCCTCAGTTGAAAATTCTCCTCGGGGACGCCAGTTATCTTCAAGCTTCCCGCAAGCTCAAAAACCTTCCCACGATGATTCATTGGCAAGCCCATGAAATAAGGCGTTGTTTTGATTTCAAAGTTGTTGGCGGCCACGGGTGGATGTAGGATGGGAAATTGGATATCCAGTGCCTGTGGGGCAATGTAATAGCCCATAGTATTTGGTTCTTCCGCAGCTCCTACTTCCTCATTTTGGTTTTGAAGCGGATTAGCACCTCGTTGTTGATTCCCTGCCATCTCAACTTCAATTTCTACTTCAAATCCTCCAAATATGGGACCAACTTGATATCCCCTCTCTTCAATCCTCCTTCTTGCTTCCGCTAGCTCCCTCTAAAGAGCCAAGAGTCTGAGAGTGCGGTCGTGATTCTCGTCTAGTGGCGCGCAAAAGGTGTCTGATTTCTCCGGGTCGTACATCTCCCTATACACACTTAAAAGAACCACAACACGTCTAGCACAAGCAACACTTCAGACAATCAAAACTCAAAGTAAAAGCTCATTAACCCCAAACAATCATTTCAAAATAACGGACCAAAGATCCCTAGCAACGGCGCCAAAACTTGACTCAACCCGAATATCACACTTAAATCCCACCTAAGGCCCAAGTATAAACCTTAAAAGGGTGCAATATTGGGTAAGTATGTTTAAATATCAACCCGGGCCGCCCATGTACCCCTACTTCGATTGTTTGAAACATTATCTAGCGGAATGTTGGTTGTGAAAATCTCTACAATCTATGATAAGAAGCAAGATTTGAAAAGTAAAAGGATTGAAACTCTTGGTGAGAAGCTTCACTCGGTAGTTGTTTCCCTAACTAACTATCATGAATCGTGAAATCGAATGAATCGGTGTGCGACAAGGCGATTGTGAACTGCTAGGAGGAGTAAAAATGGTTAGAAACCACACTCTCAATTGCTAGGCCAATGAATGCATTATAGGCTACAATTGTTGCCCTCTTGGCCCAAACAATTGAGGGTTGACTTACCTTCTCCCTCAAACCGGGGTTTGGACGGCTTAATCACAATCAACCTAGGTGTTCAATTTGAGGTTAGAGGTTTCCCTACATTAACCTAGATAAGAGGCATGGAATGCCCAAGAAAACCCAGCTCAATTTGAGCCTCTTAAGATAAGGGGGTTTCGTCTAAGCGAGGTTAGAATAGCACAATAGATTGCCAAGAACACACAATGCACAATCACCATGAAAATACCTCAAATCTTATATTAAACACCACCCACACATAATCATTCAATCCACACAATCAACTACATGGTAAAAGTTAGGGTTCTACAACACCCAAGTGAAAAGGAGACTACTCCACGCTAGAAAAAGGAAAAAACCATCATTGTGATGCCTCAATCCTTCCCTGTACTTGTAGAGATCCTCTCTTGAAGAGGAACTTCCCAAATCTTGACTTGGAGCAAACCCTAGCTCTTCTCCCTCTTGGTTCGTGGTTTTCTCTCTCTAAGTTTTAAAGAAGAAGACGGTTTCTCTCACTTTGGGCTCCCCCTTCTTCCTCCTTTCAGCTCTCCTTTTATACATAGGTTGCGCCCAGTTCACGACCGTGAACTAATGGCGAGGAAAGTGAACTCAGTCCAAAACGCGCCGCTTCACTGAACTGGTTAGCGGTCCATGGCTTTACGACCGTGAACTGCTTCGGCGTCAGTAACCTCTAAAAACTTTATGGAACCTCGCCAGTTCGCGGTTTGTGGCGCCAGTTCACGGTCCTGTTGACCGTGAACTACGGCTTCTACCTCCTATTTGCCCGATCCTCGCCCATTTTCTTCCAACTTTCAACTCTGGGGTTGATTCCACCTGTTGGACTCTGTAACACATTGAAACATAGCAAACCTAGCATAAAAGCACCCTTTTTGTAGCTCAAATGCCACAAACGCCAAAGAGATGGGAATAAAAAGTATACATTTAGGCTCAAATCAATTAAAAATTTACTAGTGAAAATGTACTCATTTTTATTTGAAACACAAAAACATTTATACCTGAGATTTTATATCAAAAAGTCATTATAATTTTATATCTATTTAACTTCTTCTATAGTAAAATAAATAATCTTTCTCGTTTTATATTTGATACTTTGACTCTATCATATTTTGAACTTTATAATTTTTATTAGTTATATCATTCAATTTTTCTTTACTTAGATTTCAAACAACCTACCATCATTGAGGTTTTAGTTTCAGACCTCACCAAAAGTTTAAGCTAAATAGGTGATCATGTTCATGTTTTTAAGTTTTGTTTCTCAAGAAACGGTAGCTTTGTTTAATTTGAAATTTGTTTTTTACAATCATAGGAAACGAAGGTTTTCAACAGGTTTAAGTCGTTGAACCGCTTAATCAAGTGATTTGAGGTTCAATGGTCTAATCGGGGTTCTATCTGTTTGAACCGTTTTATTCATTTTCTAAATAGATATACAAATAAAGCAATAATTTAAAATTTTAATGTCTGAAATGAAATTTACCTTACATGTATCTATTAGAACTCAACGACTATAAAAATAAAAATCTACCTAACCCCCATGACCCACCCACCATTTCCTTCTCTCTCTTCTTCTTTGTTTCTCCCCCTCCCCTCCGCCTCTCCCCTTCAGTCTCTCCAACAATTAGAAAGTGGCTTTCTGAAGATCATTTCAGAGCTCGACTTTGACCGGACCAGGTTCAACCGATTATTTAGTAAAGATTTAACAATCTTGCAGGAAACAAAAATGAAAGTAAACCTACCCTTAAAGTTGCACTCAGCAGCCGTACTGATAAGTGGCTTGACTACGACCAAACAAAACTCTCAATTCCTCGTCCATAGCTTATCTCGTTGGCTTAATGAATTACCATTGCCGAACAGGTAGCGCCATTCATTCTTTCATACTTAACCTTGCATTTTGGACCTTCACCGACAACTTCATTTTCTGTTCTTCCATCTCTCTCAACGCGGCTAGCAAGTTCGTTCGATATACTTCGCCTTTTTTGTTAGTCTTCTCTAATTCGATCGTCAGCTCCTGATCCTTGGTAAGCACTAAAAGAGGAATATACCCGTCATCAGGAAAAAAGAACAAAAAATAAACAGCTCTGGGTTGAGTTGATAGCGCAAAACTTAGTAGTAAACCCAAAACAAATTCAAAGCAGCAATGCCCCTTACAATCTCTTCACCGCATATTCAGTTTAAACAATCAAACAGCAGAGTTCCATCTAACGACACGTGTTTCAAGTAAGAGCCCACATGACCAACAATATAGTCCTACTTTAGTGCAATAAGCCTTGCCTAAAACATCTTAGAGAATGAAAAAGACCAAGTAGTGGCATACGCTAGATGAAAGGTTAAAAGTGGTCTTGCACCTCAATTGCTAAAGTTGTATAGTAAGAGGAGCTAACCACTGATTGCAATGCTGCTGCTGATCCACTTTTTCCTGTTGCCGGCATCTGATCTTGACCACCTGGAGGTACACCACTCTTCACAGCAAAAATCTTCTTGGCAGCCTCTTGCAATGCATTCATTGCTACCTTGTAGACATGAATAGATTTCGTCCCTTCTTCCACATATTTGATTGCCTCCTCGCAGAAATTGTGATACTTAGAAGTTGAGTACTCGTGGGTACGGCCATCCAGTAATTGAGAACCGCATTCTTCTTCCAGAACTGCACCACCACTCTTGGCATCCATCGTTTCAATATTTATTGAGAAGGAAGTGTGAGAACATTTTTAGGTATGAAAACGGCTAATAAGTGTGATTCGGGTCTAAATGCACACATTTTACCCATCATTTCTTGATAGTTTGACTTTGCATTTCATTGTCTCTCGACCTATTTTATGATAGGGTGTGCTTGTTTTGTCATATTTCAGGTCCCAACACGTGTGGGAAGGTCGAGGACGAGTTTCGGGTCGATTGGAGGTCGAAAAGCATGAAAAAGTGAAATAACTTCCAAAGTCGACCTTGACAATTGCCCCGAGACCTTGAACCACAATGCTTCCAGAGCGTTTCTACAAGTTACTGGCCTCAAGCCAGTTCTCGGTCGCCAGAGACCGTGAACTTATTTAATGAAGTGGTGCGTTTTGACTCGAGTTCACGGTCTACGCTTAATGTTCACGGCCGTGAACTAAGACCGTGAACAGAGCCCGATCTGGGTATAAAAGGAGAAGGGAGCTGAAGGGAAGGGGAGAGCTTTTCTAGGGTTTTAATTTTCAAAATAAATGAGGGTTTCTAGTGAGAGATTATGGTTTTCTCTTCCCATTCTAGAGAGAGAAAGTGTCATTCATAGGAGGAAGAACGAGATTGGGCTCAATTCAAACTAGATGATTGAAGATTTCTTCTTCGCAAGGGAGATTCCAGCAACAAAGGAGGAAGATTGTCATCTATTCATGGTTCTTTCTCTCCTTTTTGTTGTTTTCCTTTGCCTAGCTATGGATTAGCCTTCCTACTCACTTGGGTGTTGTGAATCCTAGTCTAGATGTATGTTCGGATGTAAGAACTTGATTCAATTGTGTTGATTGTGTGTTCTATATAATATTTGAGGTATTTTCCATGAATGATTGAGTGTGCTAGCTTTAAGTCATTATTGGGTCAATTTGACCTAGGTGGAGAGAATCACCTTGTTGAAAGAGACTTTGGGAAGCTTGATTCTTGACCAATTTGTGTCACCCACCTAGATAACTGAGGACAAACCTTAAACTAATCATGATTAGTGAGTGTTGCTTGCATTATCTCTTTGTTGGATCAAAATTAGTCTAGTGGGTGGAAATCCTCTTTTGGCCCATAGGGAGATTGATCTCCTAGCCACTTGGGTAACCCCTTTTGGGTCGATTAAGGGCCAAAACCTCAACTATCGGAGTAGTACCATGATTCTAGCGTGATTGGTCTATCCGTCATGCGGGTTAAGATCCGAGGGCTTGGTTTGCAATCCTTAGTCGACAAGGTTAGAGGGGTTAGGGTTTCCTCGGTTGATTGGTTAAGAGAGCTAGGTTCCCTAGCTTTTTGTCGCAATCCTTAATCGATCGACTAGGAATGTTTATCCCTAGCTAGTTGCACCTGCCTCACAGTATAAAAACACATCCTTCACACTATAGTTTCGTTCACTGCTTCTTAATATGAGGCTAGGAGGAGCAATACCCAGGTGAAGTCCTTTCAAGTAGAATTCTCCTCGATTTACTTTCCTTGTTTGTTTACTTTGTAGTTTTCATAGTTTTAAACCCAAAATCGTTTTGCTAGACAACAACTTAAGAGATTAAAGTAGGGATACATGGACCGGCCCGAGCAACCAATTTGGTGACTAAAAGGGCAATTTATTTGTATTCTTGCAAATGTTAGTGGTTTTTATTTTCGACATTGACTTATCTTTTGGTTGTAAACTATGGTATTTTCATAGTTCTCGGTAATACAAGTTAAGTTGGCCAAAACCATTTCGAATGGGACAAAATATTTTCATGGCCCTTCTCTGGCCTCCAATCCGGACAAACCCATATTGTCAAAAACATAACTTCGAAAATAAATGCTCTCACCGTTCAACTCTATTCTCCTTATACGAGTTGATAACTTAAAGTAATCCGGCCAACGACCGGGTAAAAGCTAGTGATTACTTAGTAGTGGCTAGAAGTAATAGTAAGTAGGTGCCTAAGGTACGGGTTATAGTTGATCATGTTGGAATTGAGATGGAAGTGCAGAAGCAACCAGAGGAATCTATTGAAGTTGGGACTGTGGATTTTGCTGTGAATTTGGGTAAAGAACAAGATGAAAAAATGTAGAGTGTGCTTTTGGGTTCGGTGACTGTTCTGCTTCTCAATGAAATGGGCGTCCTATTGTGAGTTTTGCTGAAGTTGTTCACGAGTTATGAACTTCAGCTGAGAGCTTGCTTGTCATACAGCAAAAGGCAGATACAAGCAAATCAATAGCTGATGCAGTTGGGAGTTTGTCTACACAGCCACCTCCACTAGGTACATATCAGCATTTACCTAGATCCTCGAACAAAATTTCTATTTTGGCAGGCACGAGGTCTTTTTCCTTTGTTAAGCAGATCTTTGTTGTGCCGGTCCCTCCACAACGAGGAAAGAGAGGTGGTAGAGGAGGCAAAATAATGAGATGAAAATTTTATTTTTGATACTAGAAGTTTTAAAGCTTCAAATTAGAAGAATAAAATTTTACAGAAGCTGGTAAATAAGCACAATATAGAAGTAGTAGTCATATTAAAGTCTCGAATTTGTGTTGTTAAATCAAATAACCTCATCAACGAGAGATTCTTGGATTCGGAATCTAAAGTTGCCAACAATGTTAAAGGTCGGGTAAGTTGTGGTTGGTCTGAAAAAAAAGATGTTTTCCTTAGGGTTCTACATAGTTCGGAGCAATTCATCAACCCTATGTGTATGCCTCAAATTCGTACATGGCGAGGAGAAAATTGTGTGATGATCTTAGGAGAACGAGAGTTAGTGCAGCCCCTAGTATTATGATGGGTGATTTCAATGAAATTGCCTCTCTAGTTGAGGCTTTAAATGATCCTATTGTGTATAGCAGTATACTAGAATTCAGACTGGCAGGCTAACTTGGAGATTGAAGAGCATAAGACATCGGGAGCTTGGTTTGCCTAGTTAAACAAGCAAGCGATAAATCCTATTGCTCATAAATTTGAAATGGTTGGAAGGATGTCCAGATAGTGTAATTGATTTGTTGCAAGAAGAGACTCAAAACCAATTAGTACAGCTATAATAACCAATTGTGAAAGAAGAGAATCAAAACCCAAGTATGGTGGTTGATTTTTGCAAAACTATTTTGTTTTTCGAATTCCTCTACCCTTTTTACAATACATTCTTTTGCTTTTGATTGTATTTAGTACAATAGGGGTATTTGCATATCACTTTAGTTAGCTTGTTTCTTTCGACTCAATTTCCTCTATCCATGCCCTTTACGCACATTCTCAAGATAGCACAAAGAATAGCGAGAGATTGTACTAAAGAGGGTTCCAATATCAGATGGGCACAAACCTACTCTCAGTTCGTGCCTCTTGTATCTCCATGTGCATTGACCAGTTGTGTCATCACGTGAGGTATACCCTAGATTTTATTGTTTGACATTTATAACTTTAGCTTGTATTGTATGGTAGGCTTTGAAGCATAATATACTACAATAGGCAGATTTCACCACATCCCAATAGATACAAGCGCAAATTGATCAGTTCCATATAATCAACTGTAACAACAGGAAGCAAACATCCAACAAGTACAGAGGCTCGCCTGTGAAATGCTGTCAACAAGTTTCTCTAAGGAACAAATGACGCTTAGTCGAAATAGCAGCTTGCCATGAAGCTACAAGGCTAGAAGGCACCCACATGCAGAGCAAACATAAAAGCTGGGCCTCAAAATGCATCCACAAATCCCATTCAATATGCCAAGTCCGTGAAGGAAATCTTACAACAGACAGAATTTAACCTTTGGCTTGTTCTTGAGCCATACCATACTTCATGAAGAACTTCTTATGATTACAGCTCAACATATCACTCAAGCTACAATCTATGTTCCTCTCTCTTAAGAGTTTGTGCCTGGATTGCAACGTCTTCCTTAACCCACACTGGAAGAAGTGCGGGTAATCAACAACTTCATTAAGTTGCCTCCCCATAACATCAACCAGAAACTTGATCCTCGGTTCCAAAGAATTCCGAATACTCTTGATAAGAACCGGAGGGTAACCAGTGACCAAAGCTACCAGCTGTGCATCCCCAAAGCCACATCTCTTGAGAAAGTCCAAATTGGGTTTCAGAGTCTTGTCCACATCCCTACACAGAACCTCAGGGAACGTGACAACCACGGTTTGAAGATCAGCTGCAGTAAGGCCAACTGATGACCTGAGGAACTCGGTTGTAGGGCGAAGCCTTTTATCGACACTGTACCCCACAATGAAGGGGTGTTTGACCACGACTTTGCCAACCATGCCGTTTTTGGTCAAGCCGAGACCAGTAAGGAAGTCAACCATCACTTTCAACTTGGTATCAATGCTATAGCTGACCAGCCTCGGGTTGAGCATTATCAGCTTGCCAACTTGCTTCTCGGAAATACCGAGCGCCTGAAAGAAGGCCAAAAGAGGGCACAGCTTCTCTTCCACACTGTGAGCGAGTATGTGAGGGAACTTGGTAATGGTGGAGGCAACTTCATGGGGTTTGGTGCCTAGGGTAGCAAGACACTCCACCATTGGGACGAGCCTCTCGTGGAGTCCAAGGGTCAGGATTCTGGGGCACTTGGAGATGATTGAAGGGAGCTTCCTTTCCTGAATGCCAATGCTTTTCAAGAAATCCCAGTTCTCAGATGCTCTATCCTTGTGCACGCCTTCAAGACGCTTGCACTTGGTGAACATGTCATTGATGCCCGACTCGTCGAAACCTCTGTCTCGGAAGAACCACATGATGCTGGTAGGGTTTTGATTGCAGGCCATTTCCATTCTTGCTGAGAAAAGAAAACATGAAAGCTCTGAGCCTCTGAAACATGCCCTATAACTATAAGCAAGCTATAACAGCTAGCGGATTCCCTTGAAGGCGAAACAAGAGACATCAAAACAAGGCAATTCTTTCTCCAGCTTAGCTATGCCCATTTTTTGCTACAGTTGAGGTGGAGGCTAGAGGAAATAAGCTCAATTATAAACCCAAATGCAGTAATTGAATGAAGAAGAAGCGCAGTCTGAAAAAGTGCAAGGATGGCAACAACGGAAGAGTGAAGGTTCTACCTTTGGCTTCAGAAGGCGGACGATGACGAGAGCCAAGCTTCACCCACCGCAGGCGCAGAGAGAAAGAGGAGCTCGAGTCGAGAGTTTTTTTGGGCCTCCCTTCTCTCCCAGACTGCCTTATCTGCTAAAAACATAAACTTAGGCCGACGCTGCTGTCTCTGACTCTGAGTACCCAAACCCGACCCGGTTCACCCTTATCCATCCAATTTTATTTTGCCCTTGTCGCTTTCTTTGATTTGCCGAATTACCAACTTGCCCCTCTCCCAATTGGCAAAAACCCTCCTAGAGTCCTAAACTAAACTCGCCCTCTCCAGTTCCAGTTCCAGTTCCAGTTCCAGGCGGATCAATCGAATTTCCAAACCCTAAACTAAAAGGCCAAACTCGCTGTAATGGCGTGGTCGTCTGTAGTGAAACTGAGGGTTCCGATCCCAAACTCGCTGGCGGCACTGCTACGCCGCTGCAGTTCTTCGGCTGCAGGAGAAACTGGCTTTGGCAAACAAATCGAAAATGATGAACCCTTCGCTCCTGCGCCTCCAAATCCTATACCTAATAGGCCTCTGAGACGCGAGAGACCCTTCCAGTCCCGCTCCGCCGCCCCTCCGCCGCCACTTCCTCCGCCGCCGCGAGCTTCTCACTTCCCCCAAAATCATAATAATGCGCAGCCACGGACGAGGACGGACAGGGATGTTAATTCCAAGGCTTCCAATCGTGACGATCACATCTCCGATGCTGCCTTCCTCGACAGATTCAAGCTCCAGCCTCGTCACAACCAGCCCGACGGCGGGGATCCCCAAACCCACTCTCCTACTACGGCAGCAGCTCCGCCTTCACCGAAAGAGGGCGGTGGCGATGAAACTCATCGGAACCCAACAAATTCCGATCGTTCCCACCACCCACAATCGCCTCCTCCCGAGGCCGACGAGATCTTCAGGAAGATGAAGGAGACGGGGCTGATCCCCAACGCTGTCGCGATGCTCGACGGGCTGTGCAAGGACGGCCTTGTCCAGGACGCAATGAAGCTCTTCGCTCAGATGCGGGAGAAAGGAACAATGCCGGATGTGGTTATTTATACGGCGGTGGTGGATGGCTTCTGCAAGGCCCAGAAGCTGGAGGATGCCAAGAGGATTTTCAGGAAGATGATCAGCAATGGCATCAACCCAAATGCCTTCAGCTACACGGTGTTGATCCAAGGACTGTACAAGTGTGCCCAGCTCGACGATGCCCTGGAATTCTGCTGCGAAATGCTGGAAGCTGGCCATTCTCCTAATGTGACCACTTTCGTCGGCTTGGTGGATGCCATGTGTAGGCACAAGGGTATGGAAGAAGCTCGGGGAGTCATCAAATCGTTGCGGGAGAAAGGGATGTATCTCAATGACAAGGCCGTGAGGGAGTTCTTGGACAAGAATGCGCCATTATCTTCGGCACTTTGGGAAGCTTTCTTTGGGAAGAAACCAACTCAAAACCTTTTCTGAGTTGCTCAGCTACTGCCCTGGTTAGTATACAGAGCCTGTTAGCTGTAGGTCCGAGTTTCTTATTGCTGCAATTTTGTTAGATTGCTAATCACGGTTTTAAGTCCTCGGCGCCTAGTAAGCGAATTCACAAGTGACACAGCTAACGCTCTGTATTAGAAGTTCAGTTTCCTGTTTAGTGTTCACCTACTATAAAACTTCTTTGTCCAAGAACATTGTTTCATACCTTCAGGGCCGGCCAAGTTGGCCGAGTTACTTCCAGTCATTGCAACTGCCCTGCAGACGCCTTGAAGGCCCCATTCAAGCAATGTTCCATGCATCCAGCAACTTGGTCTCATGTGGCGCGCTATAGAAACAGAGACTAAAAACTTGGCAGGCTGCACTTCAGGTGTCGAGCTTTTTCTACAAGTTCCGGCAATTAAAATTGCCATGCATTTTCCAGTTTTTTCTAATCTTAAGACGGCGTTTGGTAGTTTGGATCAAAACTGAACTGATCTAATTTGCCCCTTCAAATGCAACTAAGCTAATGACCTCGTTTGTTTCAGTTAAATGGATACCGGAATGTGTGACGTAGAATCTGCAAAACTATAAATCTATCTGCTCGAGGAATCTTGTAGCACATCTGACCTCGAGCTTCCCCTTGCAGCCACGAGGCTGAGAAGCTTGTTGTGTCCTCACTCGAGATCATTGATCAACCTTTTCTCCAATGCCCAACTACCCCTTGGTCCTGTTGGATGAGTGATTTTATAGCGAGGGATTTAAAGACCAAATCTTTCAACTAAAAATCTAGGAATTTAAAATGTGAGATTTATACACAATCACTCTTTGGTTTATAGAACAAGAATTTTGGTCAAAATTGTATAATAATAATTTTGTCTTCGTATTCCATTCATCCATTCCACCGCCCAATCTCATCCACGAACAGGCTTGTCATGTCTGGTTTCGGTAAAAACTGTGACGGACCAACTCTCAGCTGTGTGCTACTTAGCTCTTAAGTCTCATTAGAGCGCTATGTCAGTTCAAACTCACAAGTGTTGGCGAAAACTCTATGGATGGAAACTCTTTTATTTATGAATGAATGACAAATGAGGGAAAGGGCTGCTTATATAGGCATCCTCTCCACTAAGTACAATGTATGTAGGCGTCATAAATGAACGAACCTAGAAGTCCCCATACATGAACTTGCCCCCATACATGAATGATAGTAAATAAGGTGAATGCATGAGCACTCATACATGAATTGTAATAAAATGAGGGGATGTATGTACATTGGTGCATGAATCTAGAGATGCATGCATATACCTACACCCTTCTAGAATCTTCCTTGTGACATTCTCCCCCACTCAATCTTGCGACGCCATTGTCGTGGACTCTGCATGAAATGCGTCGATCAAGTCTTTGTGACACCATAGTGAAAGCTCCTTTTCCCGAGTGATGTCGCTCTCTGGCCGCCCTTTCCACTTGAAAAGGTACTGATACAAGGAAGATTCTAGAAGAGTGTAGGTACATGCATGCATCTCTAGATTCATGCTCCAATGTACATACATCCCCCTCATTTATTACGATTCATGTATGAGTGCTCATGCATTCACCTTATTTACTATCATTCATGTATGCGGTCAAGTTCATGTATTGGGGGACTTCTAGGTTCGTTCATTTATGATGCCTACATACATTGTACTCAGTGGACATGATGCCTATATAAGCAGCCCTCTCCCTCATTTGTCATTCATCCAGAAATAAGCGAGTTTCCATCCATAGAGTTTTCTCCAAAACTTGTGAGTTTGAGTGAATACGAGTAAGGCTGACTTAGTACTCTAATGAGACTTGAGAGCTAAGTGGCGCATGAAGAAAATGGAGATCACGTTCCAATCTTCCAGACCGTGGCTCGGGCATCTCATCAGAAGCTCCTTATAGTGCTCCCATGCCTCGGTCAGACTTTCATCCTCAGCTTGTTTAAAAGTGACAATTTCCTCTTGCCTCTTCATTGCCAAGGCAGGTGGGAAGTATTTATCCAGAAATACCTTCTCAAGCTGACCCCATGTCGTGATGGAACGGGGTGTTAAGTTCTGGAACCAGTGTGATGCATTCCCTAGCAGAGAAAATGAGAACATCCGAAGACGGATTGCATCATCAGACACGGTCGGGCTCTTCATCGTATCACATATGCTCGCGAACCGGCGAAGATGCTCATGAGGATCCTCGGTGCTAGCCCCTGAGAAGGTGTACCCATTAGTGATCATATTTATGAATGTTGGGGTAATTTCCATGGTTGCATCCCCAGCCGGAATGACAACACATGAAGCTCGGGCTCCAGTCCGTCGATTCAAACGAGCCCTGATCGAACGATCCTCGTCTGCCATGATGACAGGCTCGATGTCACGAGGTGGTGGTGTCGGTGGTGTAGGGATGACAGGTGATGAAGCCTGCCCTCTCTTGGTTAGAGAAGGCCTAGGAGTTGTGGTTGGTTGCTTCCCTAACTTGACCTGCTTCCTGTTCTGTCGGCAGGTCTTCTCGATCTCCGGGTCTAGGGGCAGTAAATTGCCAGTTGTCCTCCTAGGCATGCACGAGGAGGATAAACCTGAAAATTCTTCTGCACACTAGCACACAGATCAAAATAGTTCACTCACAAAAATCAACAAAAATAAGGTATGGCAGTCCCCGGCAACGGCGCCAAAAACTTGATAGGGCAAAAGCGTATATGCCAAATTCCTATCTCGTAGTAAACCGGAAAGTCTGGGTATCGTCTCTCAGGGACTGGTACAACCTTATATTCTATCAAATTTATGAGCAAACTATAAGTGAAAATAGTTTAATGAGACTAATTTCTAAAAGCAAAATAAAATAAATAAATTAACTAAATGAAAACTGTCGGGAGAAAATCAATGGGAGAAAGCTCTGGGAGAAACACCGGGATTCACTACCTATCCTATCCAGATTAATTCACATATTCCAATCAATTTAATCCATACCTCTACAGCCAGGATATCATGAATGTGCTAGCTATCCCTGTCGGGAATTAATACGTACTAAACAATTAAATCAAATCCTACTGTCGTAGCTCAATGACCTAATTATTTAGCCTGAAGATCGATATCCCATTTAAGACCGCATAGTACTGATAGACCGTCATTTACACATGTTTTTACCCCCATTCTTACACCGTTTGAGGTGTTGATTCTCGTGTTTTAGGCCGATTTCACGGTAGGTTGTGCTTGTTTGTGATATTTCAGGTCCTAGGACGTGAATGAAGGCTTAGGAGCGAGTCTGGGGTCGATTGGACGAGGATCGGACGCATGGCGAGGTTCTGAGGAAGTCGCACGGGCACACCCACAACCCGCACGGCCGTGCAAGTGACCAGTTTGGCCATGCGGGATCGTGCGTGGGCACGCACGGGATTGTGCGTGGCCACGCACGGGATTGTGCGTGGCCACGCACGGCCGTGCAAGTGACCAGTTTGGCCGTGCGGGATCGTGCGTGGGCACGCACGGGATTGTGCGTGGCCACGCACGGCCGTGCAACATACAATTCTGGCCGTGCGAGTTGGCTGAGGTTCAACTAATTGATACGCCGCGTTTTGAGATGCACGGCCAGAATGGTAATGTGCACGGCCGTGCACCCTGGCCGTGCGAGTCGGGAATGGCTATTTTAACCCAAATTCGAGCCAAAGGAGAGAGAGAGCTGGGTTTTGGATCCCAAACACCCAAGGGACGAACCCTAGAGAGAGAGAGCGACTTGGGAGCATTCTTGGAGCTATTTTGGAGGATTTCTTCGCCATTGAAGCTCGGGAATCAAGCTTGGAGATGGAGATTGAAGATCTAGATCAGATTTCTGCAGTCTCTCTCTTCTCTATGGAGTAACTTCCCTTCACTTAGGTTTTGAGGAACCTTAGTTCCATGAGTTAGGATCTTTCTTGTATGAAGTTTTGGATGATATTACTGTTTGATTATAATCGAATGATGCATGTTTATTGAGTCAATTGAAGTCTGATCAACTTTTCCTGATTCCTGCTGCAATCTGAGATAGATAGAATCTGATTAGGTTGCTAGAGTCTCATCATTCGGTAGTAGGAGATTGGCTATACGAGAGTTAGCCAGTTTACTGCTTTGTACTGGAATCCAATTCCAGTAGTGGAGTTCTGTTCTTACTGCTTCAGCTTTCTATCCCGGTGAAGACTAGTCGTCTGCCGGATAGTTAGACTGAGAGGGCTTGGTCAGCTTAAGAGATTCCAAGCTACTGTCGGATCTTCTGCAGTCTAATCAACAGTAAATCAACCAAAAGGAATGACAACTTGGACCTAATTGAGGAGCTAGGGGGAATCATACCTAAGTGAGTTCCCAAATTGTAATTAGTACTTTTACTTAGTTTAGTTAGTAGAGTAGTTTAGCTAATCAATCCTTAATCTAGTTTGCTAGATAATAAACTAAAGCTGAGTAATAGTAACTCTAGAGACCCGTGGATTCGATATTTATCACTTGAGCCACTATACTGCAGTCCCTTCCATTGGTTACACTTGGCCATTGTTAGGTGTTGTGTTATAGAGCATCAAGTACCTTATTTAATCCACTGTCGCTTCGATAAGTTACTATGTCACATGAAATAGGTTCAGTTATTAGGGTTTCACTGTCGCTAATAACCTAATTAACTACAAATCGATGTATTGGTGGCCAGTCAACACAAAGCATTAAGAAATTTCATGCAATAGAGATTGGAAGAAAAGAATCATAAATCAATCCATCAAATCAAGAAATAGCTACATCCTATGGTGTTTCCCCCAGAATTTGGGGTTTAGTTCATGACGAAATTAAGATAAATCGATAGGGTTTTGTTCATCATGTTCTAAATCAACAAGAAACAACTAATGAGGTTTAGAAATCCAACCAACTAATCGCTCTCGTTGAACTCAGCTCAGGTAGCCTTGGAAAACTGATCGCCAATTTCACAATCGCCTGCTCGCGTCCCAAGCTGCGCGCTGCTCTTCCAAAGAATTCGCCCCCTTCCCAGAATAATGGCCGCCTCCTGCCTTTTTATTTTTTATTCAAGAATTCCGCCCTCTCCATGGAATTAATTCCCCAAAGGATTCCGTGCAAGCAAACTAATTGCCTCCTCCTTGTCCAAAAACTCCAAGAAGCCCGCCCCAAAATTGATTAATTCCGTCCCCAATTCTGCTGCCTTCCGCCCTCCAAAGTCCAAAAGAGATTTTCCAAACCCAATTCACGTCCAAAAGTAAGGCTAACAGTAATTGCCACCCACAGTTCGTTTCTTTTGTTCCGCCTCCAAAAAGAATTTCACTCAAGTCCAAAAGTCCAGCCCAAGCCCAATCCCGGTTCAACTCCTCAGTAAGTTCCGGTCCAATGTACATCCAGTCCACTTGAATTATTCTATCCACCAATGCAAATTTCTCGTTTCATTTACCTGAAATATATAAAACACTTGGCACTTGATGGTAATGGTTTTATAACCATTCCAGGCTTAGTTGGACCTCAAACAAGTATTATAGATCTCAAACATATGATGAAAAAATCACATTAAGCACGCAAAATCAATATGTTTTCGACAATTATCAACGACCATGGTGTGGTGGAGGAGAAACAAGGAGACGTCGAAAGAGGCATGTGTGAGATGAACACGTGGGAGGATTTTTGGAGGGAAATCAAGAAGTAATTTTATCCGGGGAACGTGGCTTCTTGATTTCCCTCAAGAAATCCTCTCACGTGTTCATCTCACACGTGCCTCTTTCGATGTCTCCTTGTCTTCTCCTCCACAACACCATGGTCATATCGACCAAATAAAGTGAGGCAGTAAACACCATGACCTCGTTGTCGTTGATGCCCGAAGTCTTGAAATATTGCTCAAGACTCCAAAGGAAATTTTCCAATTCCCTTGCGTTCCTCGAGCCTTCGAAATTCTTCGGCTTTGGAACAACCACTCGTGGGGTGAGTCGCAACAGGTCCATTAGCCACAACTCTCTTGATAATATTATTCTCCTCGAATCTCGCCAAACTCTTCCCTTACTTCTTCAACTTGGCCTCGAACGGTCTCCTTTAATGAGTCGATGGCGTTGGCGATGATGGTAAAAAAACTCTTCTCGAAAAGCTCTAATCCCACCTCCAACCCCCGTCATTCGAGTAGCCATGCCTTGCACGTCGTTCTTCGAGGTCTGCACATTTGTGTTGACTAGGTCAAAGTTTGACTCCATGTCTTCGAACATAGTGGTGTGCTTGGCAATCTTCGTCTGTGCATTCACGAGCTTCTCCTCGAGTGCAACCAAGGGCTCTCGAGTAGATCTATCTCGCCTATTCTTGTTTTGCTCCTTCTTTTGGTCACGTCCACGTTGCTCATCATTGACAACTTCGGATGCGGATCCAGCCCCTATAGGAAAACTGGTTTCTAGTCACGGGATCGTATTCACCGGAAATTTTCCCGTACTTAGATGTATGCTAATAATCACAGGAAAAATTCTTGTAGTTGATTATATAGTTCTAATCACGGGAAATAATTTAATAACTTTTGTCCTTCATTTACCGTGATTAGTTGTTAATCATCGTTAATTACCGTGAACATTGTGATATTTTATCTTTCCAAATTTTAAATGAAAAAAATGAAATTAAAAATATTAGGAATGAGAGAAAATTGGGCTCCCTATTTTTCTAAAAAGCAAATTGGCAAGAAAGAAAAATGTTCTCCCTATTAATTTTAATTTACATAATTCATAATTGGGGACTCCCCAATTGGGAGCTTCATGAAAATTTCTTTCCCGAAACTTCCTCCCGCATTTTCTTTCCGCTCCCAACAAAGTCCCCCCACAAATTTGCTTTGCCAAAAGTTCCCCTACTGAAATTTTAGGCTCCAAATTTCAAAATTTAGGCTCCAAATAAAAAAAAATTGGCTCCTGTAAAGTCCGCAATTTTGGCTCTCTCCCCTCTTTCTCTCCGATACCACAGCTGCCCCCGTTCCCTGAACTCCTCATGTCCTCATCTTCTCACTTTGAAGCCAAATCAAAGAAGGCAGCAGAGGGTAGTTCATTTATGTTTATATTTTTAGGTTTCTAGGGTTGAACTCTGCAACGCCAAATCTCTCTTTCCTTCCTTTGCATTCTGTCTGTTCTAATTTATAGCACCTCCGTATAAAACTCAAAACTTTCAGGCAATCCCATCCCCCAAGAATCCTATCGACTCTTCTGTCTTCTTGCATCTCTGAAGCAGTGACGATGAACTGCGTGGATGAGGAGCGGCGACAAGAGTAGTTAAGTGAAGGAACGCGTTGAAGGGAGTGGATCGACTCATTTACTTATGTGAGCTGAATGACCATAGCATTGCATCATCCCTCACCTCAATGAACCAATTTTTCGATATAGGTATTAGTAATGTCAAGTTTGATTTGATGGTTTAGAGCTAATTTTTGTCGATTATCAGATGGGGGAGGAGAACTTTGAGCTTTCCTTGGATGCTGATAATTCCAATACGCATGCTAGATATTGGTTACTAAGTTGCATTTGAAGTATCGTGTTCCAGGGGCATACTATAAAGCTATGTGAGTATGCCCCTTTTCTTTCACCTTGTTCTTCCCGAAACAAGGTAATGGTTAGTGCAGTAATCAGTTTATATATTTCAACTTTGGAGCAATCTGGCTTCTGGTGAAATGTAGTTATTTTTCTTGTTTAATATCCATTATATAATTTTAACATAGTTCTTTGCTACTGCTGGTCTGTTAAAGTATCCATCCTATGTTTGAATAACTATGTTATTAATTAGCATTTTTTAACATTTGGTGACTCATTCCGGCTTGTGTTTATTTTGTTTCAATGATGTAGAGGAGCTGCTTTATTAGTGGAAGGTGCTGAGATAGGTGACTAGATGCTCAATATTGTTGCTATAGCAACTTTTGCACATGTTGTTGGAGCAGATCTCAATAAGGTAGCTTCAAGGTTCAACATAGCAGACAGCGACTCTCAAATATAGAAAAAGTATATTCCCTGTGATAGAATATTTCGCATCCATAGAACAGGTTTGGATTTCAGCTTTATGTGTGCACCATATAACTATTTTCACTGTCTACGCAGCATTGATGAAGATTATTACTCTATCTTGCACCAAGTACAGGGTAACATGTTTTGGGGCTTTTTGGTGCCATGGGTTCATAGGGTTTCTCTTAGATATGAAGTATTTTCTATTGGTTTTTCAGCACTACAACTATAAATTGGCAGTTTAGGACCTTGACAAGCTCAAGAAGAATTAGTTTAGTTGTCTGCTGGAAGCTTGCTACTAGAATGAGAAACCAGACTTACCTATTAGTGGGAAGTTGTTACTGGGCTAGTTATGTGTACATATAATTTTGTGAATGAATGTAATTTTGCTGATCTATTAGAGCTTA